AGAAGAAAAGGAAGAGAGAGAGAGGGAAGTGAAAGTGCGTGCGTGTGTGTGTGTGTGTCTGACCCTCTGGCTATATATATATATATTTCCATCTGTGTCCGCGTGTCCATGCTCGAGGTTGAATTGTGCAAGCCACGAACAGTATATACATGTGTGCGGCCACGAGCAATGCGTGTTTTGAGTGCCTTCCCTTAGAAGAGACACATCTACGAATGTGCGTCTCGTTTTACCCTTGCTTTGCCTTTCCTTTCCCTTTACGTGTGTGCGTTCGAACCGCCGTGTTTACGCTCGTGCCGCAGCACTCCTCAGTGCTCGGAGGTATTCAGGGAAGAGGCCGCCTTCTTTGTTCTGCTTAATTGAGCCGATGAATGCTGCGTCTTGTTTTATTCGTCTTCCCCCTTTTTTTCATTTTATCCCCTTTTTTACTTCTGCACGCTGCAATTTTGGCGTGGGCCAACGGAGCTCCGCAAGCAAAACCCACCAAACCCAACACGGTTACTGCGGAGGTATGTTTTTTTATCCGCTCTCTATCCGTGATTTTTTTTTCCCCCGGTGTTTTTTTATTTCATTGAAGCCTGTTGCTGTCCATCCCCTGGACTACGTGAACTGCGCGCAGAGGGTGCAGGCGCCACAAGCAACTTCTCCCTTGCTTCGTTGTTTCCCTCACGCCACGTTGCCGTGACAGAGTAGAAGTAAAAGCAGTAGTAGAAGGACGAACACCGACAACCGCAGCCGCAGCGGGAACAGAGGGGAGGACGCAGGGGCGGGATGTCAGCTCCGTGCAATTTTAGCGACCAGATCACCGGAGAGGTGGTTGTGCCGTCGTCGTGGCGTAAGGAGGCCGTATGCGTTGACGCAACCTGCCAGACCGCCCCGCTAGACGTGTGTGAGGCGGAGGTGCAGACTGCTATCAGCGCGCTACAAGTAGTCAACCGGTTTGACAAACAGGTGGGCCATGAGAAGAAGAAGGTTCAGGCCGCGTTAGATGGCCTGCAGTACGTCTACGCAGGGGTGGAGATGGACGAGGGGAGGCTCGCCACATTTTTGGAGGACGCCAAAAATGACGTGCTGTCAATGTTGTACCGCAACGCAAAGAGCGGCGCCTTCAGCAACTATGAGCCAAACTGGTCAACGAGGAGCACCGACGTTGCGTCGGTGGCCACGCTTTCCTCACCTTACGCCGTGGAGGGGGAGCTGCATGTGCTCTCGCTGAGCTGGAATGCGAACGGGGCCCTGCTTGCGGCGGCGTACGGCCGCGTGGACACGGCAGGGTGGTGCTACAGCAGTGGCGTTGTCGGCATCTGGAATCTGGCGCGCCCGGACATTGATGTGAACGCGCCGCATCACACGCTAGAGATGGACTCCTTCGTCACCTGCGTCGCGTTTCACCCAACCCAGGCGTCCGTGCTTGCGGTGGGGCTCTACAGCGGCGAGGTGGCCGTGTACTCCGACGTGACAAGTGCGACCCCGACCGCGATGTCGACAGGTGGATCGCCGTTGTCGCACAGGGAGCCGGTCTCTTCGCTGCAGTGGACGCAAAGTCTACAGGAAATGCGGGAATCGCACCGATTTATTCTCTGCTCTTCCGCACAGGACGGATACATTTTCTTCTGGACCCCGACAAACAAACTGTCGCAGCCGCTTGCCGCATTCTCTGTGGAAAACAAAAAAGGCGTGGTTGCCGGTGTGCAGTCCGTCCGATTTGCACGTCCTGCCGGCGGCGGTGGGGCGAGTGTTCCTTCAGGCGACAGCCCGCTCCTCATTGGACTAGAAAACGGAGACGTCGGCCGCGCTCGGCCAGGTGTTGTGAGTGTGTTGTCCGCACGCAGCAGCGACGCGCTGGTGGCGTTGGACGTGGATTGGCTGAGCGGCCACCGAGGGCCGGTGCAGAGCGTCGACACCTCGCCCTTCTTCCACAACTTGTGCCTCACCTGCTCCTCCGATGGCAGCGTCCACTTGTACAACGCCCTGGAGCGTTTTCCGCTGGCGACCCTTGAGCCCTCGGCGGAAACCAAGCATTTTCTCTACGCTGCACAATTCAGCCCCTTCCGCCCAAGCATTCTCGCGGTGGTGTCGCGGAGTTCCTTTCTGCACATTTATGATCTTCAGAAGTCGCAGTTGAAGCCGATAGTCTCAATAGAGGCCGGCGTTGACGGCGCGCCGGTGCTGTGTCTGGCGTTCAATCACACTTCCCCTGAGTGGCTTGTCACGGGGGATACGCGCGGCTGCGTGCGGCTCTGGCGACTGCCATCCACGCTTATTCAGACGACCGACTTGGAGCGTGCGGCTGTCCGTAGCACCCACGTCCACGGCAATGACGAGGATGCGGTGCGCTCCCTTTTGGGATTCCCGCTATGAATCCCCTCTTCTCGTCTTTTTTTTTCTTCTTCACCCCCCTTTTTGATCATCGGCGTTGTTTGTTTGGCCCCACGACAACAACTGACGTGGGCGACTTTGTCACCGCCGTTGTATTTTCCACCTCCAACGCCGAGACTTCCCCCACGGGCGTGTTGGGGGCGTGACTGGAAATGGACTTTCTTTCCATCTTTGTTTTCTCGCATTGTGTGTGTGCGTGCGCGCACGTTGTCCCCGCCTTTTTTTTTTTGTCTCTTTGCCTCCCCCCTCTCCAAGTGCCGCCGCAGACTCGTAGATGGCGTATCTACGGCTCCAAATAGCTGTTGTTGGGGCGCCAACCGTCGGCAAGTCGGCGTTTGTGCAGATGATCCACAGCAACGGTGTGACATTCCCGAAGAACTACCTCATGACGACGGGCTGCGACTTTATCGTGAAGGAAGTGCAGGTGGACGAGCAAAACACGGTGGAGCTTCTCATCTTTGACGTCGCGGGGCAAAAGGAGTACGAGACGATGATGCCCAGCTACGTGGAGCACGCCGCAGCCTTTATCCTCATGTACGACGTGTCGAATAAAGTGACCTTTGAGGCCTGCACGCGGTGGATTAGCGCGATAAAGCATGTGAACAACGACATGATCGGATTCCTCATGGCAAACAAGATGGATCTTGCAGACAAGTCGGAGGTGACGGAGCGTCAGGGCAAAGACTTCGCGAACGCCAATCAAATGAAGTTCTACAAGTGCTCCACGCTGCGTGGGGTGGGCGTTCGCGAGCCGATTGAGGACATTGCGAGGCTCTACCTGGATGCGTACAACAAGCGTATTGAGCAGCTTGCCCGGGTGAAGTAACTTTCTTTCCTGCGTGGGTGGCTGATGCGTAGAGTGTTGCTGCCCCCGCCCTCTCCCCTCAAACGAGTATTTATTTATTAGAGGCACACAAGGGGTGAGTGCAGGGAGGGACACGGCGGTGTTGTTGCGAGAAATGCACAGGCGTTCTGAAAAGAAAGAGAGGAGGAGGAGGGGGAAACTATTAGAAAAAAGTCTGCATGCAAGCATGTCCGCCCACCGGACTTAAAATGAGAGAGAGTGAATGAGAGAACAAGTTCCCAGAGCAACCGTAGGAGGCTCGGAGGGTGGGTGGGTAACGCGTTCCTCGGTACGTGTGTGTGTGTGTGTCTTTCGTACCTTTTCTTTTCCTCAACTCCGAAGGAACATCACATGAATGATCCACGACGATGAAATATGTGCCCTGCTGCTGGAAGAGGTTCAAGAGCGCTTCCCACTGTACGACTCGGCCATTGAGTCTGTCGGCTCCTGGCGTGTTGTGATGTGCAGCTTTACAGGCGGCGCCAAGGGCTTTGTGCCGTACCCGGTGGTTGAGCGCGACGAGTTCACGTCAAAGAGCCTTCGAGCCGTTGTGGAGGTCGTGGACGCGTTGCGGGGGCGAGGCTGCGCGGAGGTTTTCCTTGTTTTTGTCGACAGCGGTGGCACGCTTACGTTTTACCGTGCAAACACCCTGCGTGCTTGAGGGGCACGCACTTCCCCGCTTTCCTCCACAGCTCGAAAGGAGGGCCGTGGGGGAGCTCGACGCAGGGAGGCTGCGCAAAGAAGAAGAAACGGGGCGGTGTGTGCGGGGGTGGTCGGAGGAATTGAAGGCATTGCTGAATGCGCACTTTTTTTTTTCCTGCGTCTCCCTAGAGGGGGTGGCCGGCTCACGGGGCGCGCGGCTGCGTTGTCTCCCCAATCTTGACCCGTCGTGGATGCCAACAACACCGACTCTTTTCTCTTGTTTACTCTGCAGCGTGTTGTGTGCGTGTTTTTGGTTTTTCTTTTTCCTCCTTGGGGAGGTAGGCTAGGCACTGTTTTTGTGTGTGTGTGTTTTTTTGTTTTGCTTTGCCGCGTACGTGTGTGTGTGTGTGTGCGTGTGTGTGTGTGTGTGGGGGGGGGGCCTGAGAGCGTCTGTTTCACAGGGCGTGAGGGAAATAGAATATAAAAAAAAAGCAAAGGAGGGAAACAAGGGGCAGATGGAGGATCCCAGCTGGCGTCGGAACTGCGACCTCCTGGCGGATGCACTTCAGTCGCTGGATCGCAGCACTTCGCAGATTCGGCGCAGCACGAACAAACTCGCAACGCTGCGGGATATCGCAAGAGAGCGGGAGCGGGTGAAGCAAGTGACGGCCCGCACGAATGCCAGGGAGGTGCACGGCATACAGGACGCGCTGGGGCTCATGGAAAAGTATATGCGGCTTAACCCCGCCCAGCTGCGGGGGCAGGGTGTGAAGCTCACGACGGAGGCGAAGGTTGCCATGGATAAGTATCAAAATTCATGCGACGCGTTCTACAAAAAATGCATCAGCGTCGAACAGTCCCTGCGCTCTTCTGGGGAGACGACGCGTGTGAGGGTGTTGCAGGGAAACCTGGCGAGCAGCGACGCCGAGGAAGGGGATGAAACTAGTGAACTGCTTCAAAAAGGCGCGGCGGGGGCGCTCACTCAGAAGGAACTCTTCGAGCGTGATCTGCATGACGAGATCATGGCGGAGCGGCGGCAGGAAACCTCGGAGATCGCAGACAACGTGAAGGACATCAACGAGATATTTAACCACATCCACCTCATGGTGCAAGAGCAGGGCGAGTCGCTGGACGTCATCGAGGGAAACGTTGGCGTGGCGCAGCAGGCAACAAGAAACGCGGCAAACCACCTGCGGCACGCCCAGCATTATCAGGAGTCCCCCGCGTGCAACAAGTACCTCCTCCTCTTTGCTCTGGTGCTGGCATTTATAGTGTTTGTTACCGTGCTGCTCCACTGAATTGTAGGTCTGCCCGTAGTGGTTTGGAATTGTTTGCAGGCGAACGCTGAAGACGCGATGCTGCGCCCCTCCCCCCTCCCGCGGGTTGTTGCCTGCAGCTGCGCTGCCGTTTTTTTTTTCTCCCGCGCCAGCGTTTTTCCTCGCTCCTCTTCCTCCCTCTCTCCCTCCTTCGCCCGGATTCTGGCACTTCTGCTTATCGGGGGGAAGGGGCACGTGACGCGAGAGTTTTCTGCGGCCGCGCGGCGGAATCGAAGGGCACGCGTTTAGAAAAACTTAATAAAACCACCAGCTTGACCAATAAAAAAAAGAAGAAGGAAAATAACTACAAGAAAAAAACAACAACAACAACACACAACACACAACAAAAAAAAGCCCACACGCACGCACGCAGAAAAGACGTTGAAATGACGGCTGCGGTGGTGACGCCTTGGACAGTTGAGGGCGATGTGGACTACGACAGGCTCATCAAAGAGTTTGGGAGCCACGCCATCGACACCGCGTTGCTTGAGCGACTGGAACGGGTCCTCGGGAAGAAGCCGCATCACTTCCTCCGTCGCGGCATATTTTTCTCCCACCGTGACATGAACCTTTTACTGGACGTGTACGAGGCGGGGCAGCCGTTTTACCTCTACACTGGGCGGGGCCCAAGCAGTGAATCTATGCACATGGGCCACCTAATCCCGTTTATGTTCACCAAGTGGCTACAGGAAGCGTTTAATGTGCCGCTTGTCATTCAAATGACCGACGATGAAAAGTTTTTCTTCAGAAACATTGATATTGGGCAGATTGAGGCCATGACAACCGAAAACATTAAGGATATCATAGCGATGGGGTTTGACCCGGAGCTGACGTTTATATTCCGCGACTTCGACTACATGGGCCACATGTACCGCACCGTGGCGCAGATTGAGCGGACGTTCACGGCGAGCCAAGTCCGGGGCTGTTTTGGGTTTAAGATGGAGGACAACTGCGGGCGTTGGATGTTCCCGGCGATTCAAGCGGCCCCCTCCTTTTCAGCAGCCTTTCCACACATATTCCCACCGTCAAAGGGGAACGTGTTCTGTCTGATTCCGCAGGCCATTGATCAGGATCCCTACTTTCGCCTCACCCGCGACATTGCCCCGCGTCTCGGTTTCTTAAAGCCGGCCGTAATTCACTCAAAATTTTTTCCCGGCCTCAGCGGCTCAAAGGGGAAGATGAGTTCCTCTACGGGAGCGGCGGTGGTTCTCACGGATACGGAAAAGGTGCTGAAGGATAAAATTAACAAGCACGCCTTTAGCGGGGGTGGCGCAACGAAGGAGGAACAGTTTGTGCTCGGGGCTAATACGGACGTGGATGTTCCCATCCAGTGGCTGAATTTCTTTATGGAAGATGATGAGGCACTCGCTCGGATCCGCAAGGATTACATGCTTGGACGCATAATGACGGGGGAGGTCAAGAAGAAGCTGATAGAAATTGTGGGCAACATTGTGAAAAGCCACCAGGAGGCACGTAAAAAGGTTACCGAGGACGACGTGAAGTTTTTCACAAGTGTCCGTCCCATGGGACCAGCAAAACATACCAACACAAATTCGGATTGAAATGGGCTGCTTCGGCCGTAATTTTTTTTGTGTGTATACATTGGTCGATATAGGCATAAGCATGAGTGTGTGTGTGTATGTGTGTGTTTGCGTGCCTTTTGTTTTTTTGTTTGTTTGTTTGTATCATTTGTGCTTGCGCTGTTTTTTTCCTCCTTTTTTTTTCTTTTTGCCTTGAGGGAGCTGCTGTGGGGCGGCTGTGAACCCCTTCCTGCGCCTTTGTTTTCCTTTGTCGTTGGGTGGAAGGAAGCGGCGAGGAGGAAGCAGAGAGAGAGCGAGGGAGAGGTGGGGGCGTGAGAGGTGGTTCATGTCGGTATGGCGTAGGTGGCAGGTGGATGCTGTTCCCGAGTGGGGCTCTGCAGTGTGCCCCTGCCTTCTTCGCTTCGCGCATGGCTGGCCGAGGGAGGCACCACACGCGGCGAGGTCACCGGCCAAAATATTTCCCTCGTATTGGGCAAACGTGGCGGCGCTTAGCGACCGGGAGAAGGATTTTTTTGTTCAATGCGTGGAGTACATTCGCTACGGCGTCGACATGCGCCCGACGCCGTCGGTGGTGCGCGCGCTGAATCGCCTCGGGGGTGTTGCGGTGGCCGAACGCATTGAGCCCAGTGGAGCCGCGGGGGATGCGACGGACACGATATGTGACGTTGTGCTGATGCCCGACGGGCGACCGTGCATGGGGTGGTTTCTCGATAAGTTTGATTTCCGCCACTACGCTGCTGTGGTTGCCGCGATGGAGGAGCGTTGGCGGGCGTCGTCGGGGTCCTTGTGGGCACTGAAGGAGCGTGGCATTGCTGCCCAGTTGAATTCAATGACCGCATGGAACAGGCAGGAGAGTGTTTTTAGTGGGGCCGAGAAGTGGACCAGGGAACGAATGCAGGCCTACGTCTCTAGACATGCGCGGTTCGCAGAGAAGAACGTGTCCTGCGCGGAGCGAAGTGTGGATAGGGCGCATCGGTTGTCCTTATCAATCTTTTCCCCATCGACGAACGCGAACCGAGAGACTTTTCTCCCGTCAATAAGCGGCTGCCTCGCATCCTTAGAAGGGACAGGCGGTGGCAGCGCCGCTTATCCAACGCTCTGCCGTTCCTTTGGTTGTGTGCTGGCTTTGCAGCCGCCAGAGTTCATGGAATTTCGCCCCCGCGCGCAGACGCTTGGTGTGGCGCTGTGCTCGATAAGGAGTGATGACGCGATGTGCCAAACGTATCAGCATCTTGTGCGAGATGCACTGGATGCTGTGAATGGGAGAGCGCCTTCCCCGCCTGCCGCATATATTTCCACCGCACTAACTAACGCCGTGCGCAGCCTTCTTAATGATTTAACGAGCGTGGACAACACATGGGTATGGTTTCCAAGAGTTGTGACACTCTGCCTTGTGGCGCCGACACCATGTGGCAGAGACGAGGGCATCCGCGCCGCAGTTCTTGCCCTCCCTGCTCTTGAGAACTACCTGGACGCGTATGAGGCCGCCCTTCTGCAACAGCACGTCTCTTTTGATAGGCCAAGCGACGCGGACGAAGACGCCTCTTCTCGCGGAGATTTGGGTCTGGTGGACAATGCGGTGTTGGATCGGATACTCTCTGGGGAGGCCGCTGCTCCTCTGCTTGGCGGTGGCGATGATGATGATGTCGCGGGGAGGGGTCCGCGTCGTCTCGACCTCGCTGCGGCTTGGATGCCGGGCGTGGGATTGGATTCATCTTTTTATGTCTCCAACCTTCTTGCCGCCTGCGACGCTCTTTCCGGCATGCTTGCCGTGACGGAGTCGATGCAACACGCGCAGGCTGCATCGCAGCGGGCTGTGTATAGGTTTCGACACAAACTTCGAGTCCATGTTTTGCGTCGATTTGGATTTGTGATTGCCTCGAAATTGTGGGGAACTCCTTTCAGTGGCAGGGCGTTGCCTTTTTTAAATGCCCTGTGCACTTCCTTGCACCCCGCGGCAAGCATCACGGTATTTCGCTTTAGAAATGAAGCACAAATGCCGCACCCATTTGATGCCGTTGCGGAGCCTTCGCCATTGTTGCGCTCCCTTGCGACTAGGCACCTTGCCTTCCCCGGCGCCTCTCCCTGCTTCTGCGTTGAGTGTGGCACAGTGCAGCAGCTGAGGGCGTTGGCCGTCGGGACGGAGAAGCAAAAAACTCTCCGCTGCTTCTTTGCTCCAGGTGCTCCGAAGGGAATTTCATCCCTCGACTTTATTCTGCGTGGGAACACTTTCCAGGATCTGGCGGCTGCCGGAATGGGGCGACTTGAGGAAGCGCCTGAAGCTCCATTTGTGGATGTCGCTGCCGAGGTGGAGGAAGGCCGAATTGTTGTGCGCCTGCTAAAGGCGCCCCACTGCCTGTGACGTCGTGGCGGTGGTGGGCTTGGCGTTGGGTGTGTCCTGCTTTTCCTTGGGCCCCTCTCCCTCCCTTCCTCCCTCCCTCCGTTCTCTTTCTCCTCCTCGGTGTGCGCGCTTCCACGGCGTCTCCCCACCCCTGGCTTTTCTCGCGGAAGAGTAGCAGCTGTCAAGGGACAATGCGGGCGCTTAGGTTTTTCGGCAGCCGTGCCGCTGCGCTTGGCGTGGGTGCCGCGCAACTCGTGGCGGTCCGGGCGCCCTGCCGTTGCCTCTCACAGCAGGGGATCGTTGCCGCCGACGTGCGGGCCGATGACACTTCCGGCGACGGCTCCGCGCTTAGCGCCACGGCGTCGCCATTTGCAGACGACACGTTTGCCGGCGAGTTTGACGAACTTGAGGCGGCCTCGCAGGAGATACACGACCTCTGCTTTGCGATGATCTGCCACCTGCAGAAGGTCGACCCGGACGAGACGAAGGATCTTTTTGAGAAGCGCGGCGCCCGCCGGTTTCGCGAGCCGGTTCCTGAGAACAAGCGGCGTCTGCTGCACGGCTACGGCTCGAGGAGTCTTCGCCGCAGGAACTGCTACAGAACAAGGCAAGAGTACGAGGAGGCGACGCAGCTGTTTCTTCAGTTCGGGGAGAAGCTACTTCTGCTGCTTACCAAACCAGTGCTGGACCGCATCATTGAATCTGCTGGGAGGGGCTACAGCGATCATCGCTCGGATGGGGTGCACAAATATCGGAAGCCTCTGGAGCGAGCAAGTTGGCGCGGTTTTCCATATCGGTGGTACAAGCACGCACCGTTCGAGGTGCAGCAGCTCCGTGCTGACATGCCGGAGGTGGCGGTCAAGAACACCAGGACGATGCGGGATCTCTCCACCATACGTTCCCTGTTTACCCTCATGGAGCCACAGCACTCGTTTAGGTCTGCCATTGAAAATCGCCTCTTTGAAATTACGCGAGAGTATGATGCTGTTCAGAAGGTTAACAAGGGCGGTACTCTCGCTTCCCTCCCGCTACATACACCTTGAGCGAGTTCTGCGCAAAGCCAGCAACGCAGCGTCTCTCGATATATATATATATATATGTCTCGCCAGGTTTGGTAATGGATACTGCTGTATCCTTCTTTTACCTTTTGTTTCTCTTCTGGCTGCGTGCGTGTAGTATGCCCGTGATTCTGTTTCCTTTTGCCTCTTCTCCTTCGACGGACATATACGTGTGTGGGGTGTAAGGTGTAGTATGCGCTTTGCTATGCAAGTGTGGCGCGGTGGCGCGCGTAACGCTGCGGCCACCGCGTTGTGCGTGCAGTGCCGCATGCGAACTGGAGGGGGTCCAGGCGATCGACGCATCCGCACCGACTGGTACCGCTGCTACCCGTCGCTCATGGAGGAGAGGGAGCGGGACATGTACCACTGCTACTACCCATACCTGTTTGACCACGGGGACAAGATGAGTCTCTATCCCAAAATCCCGGACAACCCGCGGCGGTGGCAGCCCGAGCAGCTTCAAACGACGTATGACGCCATTCGCGAGGACAAGTATGACGCATTTCTTCGCCTCCGTGAGAAGTTTCCCGAGTTGTACCAAGACACCCGGGCTTGGGACAATCCCCCACCCTTTGGTGAGTTCAACATGTTTTATTCGGTGCGGTTTGGCATGGTTGGCGTGAAGGCCTTCACCTGCAAAGACTACGACGAACTGGGCAACCAGTTCGACTGCACCGCATTTTGGTTTCCTGACAACCAGATTGTCAGGCACGGCACGCGAAACGGGGATGTGGGGACAGACAAAGTATACGTTGGGGCAATGAACGTGCCTGTGGAGTTTCACAAGCCACACGTGGCGGCCTTTTATAAGGCGGCTGGTGTGCCTGTGAAGCACGTGTGTGCGGGTTTCCCGATCACCCCCGACGCCTACGCGCCTGTGGGCACAAAGTTGGATGTCCGTCACTTCAAGCCGGGCCAGGAAGTCAACATCACTTTTCAAAACACCGATTACGGCTTTCGCGGCGTGATGTTTCGTCACGGTTTTGACGGCGGCTACGTTTGGCTAGGCGACTCCAAGTGGCAGCGTCGTCCGGGGTGTATGGGGACGGAGGGGCAGAAGCGCATCTACCCGGGCCACCGCATGTCAGGCCAAACAGGCGCTTCCGCCGAGACCTATCAAGGTGTACCTGTGTGGCGCATCGATTATAAAAACTCGCTCATTTACCTCCCAACGCTCCTAGATGCGGATGTCGGCACCTACGTGAGGTTCAGCGACACGATTAACACAAAGGGCTACACGTTGTGGAACGAACACCGTGGGCTTCCCGCGTTTCCAACCTTTATCCCCGCCGAGGAGGAGGACCTGTCAAAGCTGTCCACAGACGAGTGTCAGCTGATGAGCCCCCCGCTGTACATGTACTTCCGGGACGAGTTTGCGGCGACCCAGTTGGTCTCCCAGGCGGACGTGGAGGACGCCAAGAGTGCCAAGCCGACGACGGCGGCTCCGAAGAAGAAAGTTTACGACATGAAGAAGTACTTTGAGGCACGTAAAAAGTACCGACAGAACCTGCAAAAGGCAAGAAAGATAAAGCTCATGAGTCTGCGTACCAGGGCGCATGAGAAGCAGGAAGAGGCGCGCCGTGCGAAGATTTTGAAATACAAACGTGTCAAGTAGAGATGGTCGCCATTTTTGATTCTTCGCTGGCGCTGAGAGGGGAGGGAGCGAGAAGTACTCACAGGAAGAAAAAGTAAAGGAAAGGCGGACACGTTTGACACATACATGCGTACATACATGCAGGCACATCCGTGACGGAACTTGGTGAAGTGGGTGTATGGATGTGATTGTTATTACCTTTCTAATTTATTCTTATCATTTTCTTTTTTTTTTGTTCGTGGGATGCAACGCCACATGGTTTCAATATATATATTTTTCTTTTTTGTCCGTCTTCTTCTTTCGCTTCTGCAGGAATTATTGGCCTTTGCTGTTAAGTGGTGTGTGTGTGTGTGTGTGGTGGGTGTGCCTCCAGGGATTTAATGTCAGCGCTAACGTTATCTGACACCCGTTTGGCGGGTATTCTCTCCGCGTGGAAAAAGGCTCAGCCCACGGCGGGGGGGTTTGACGTGGTGGGCTGCGTTTTTGGCGCGCTCACGCCGTCGACGCTCGAGAACCAGCGCAGCCAGGCTGTTCTGCAGCACCTCTTCAATGCGCCGGCGACTGTGTGCGACGTCGCGGTGTTCTTCTCCTTCGAAAAACTTTGCGTCGTCCACAACGGCGTGCCGATTGAACTGCCGCCGACCACCGACTCCTACGCGTATACGGCTGTGCAGTACGACGAGACTTGCGCCGACGCCCTCGCGTCCTTCCTCGCGGGCGCCGCCGTGGGTCTCTGCCAGAAGGAGTTGGCCATTCAAGAAGGGGAGTTCGCGTCGAGGCTCATCCCGCTGCTTCGCAGCCTCATCCCCGCGGAGCGGACGGTGGAGGTGGCGCCGCTCTTGGGCGAGTTCCTTTTCGTCAAGGACGAGGCGGCGCTGTCGTGCGTGGAGAAGGCGGCGGGCCTCTGCAGCGCCGTCTTCCGGCGGTTTGTCCGTGGGCTGATCGAGGAGGAGCTGCAGAAGACAAACCCCAAGCCGCTAAGCTCTCTGCAGGAGGAGGTCGCGAAGAAGCTGCAGACGCCAAACACCGTGAAGGGTCTAGAGCGGCTAGACATCTCCCAGTTTTCCATCGCCTCTGGCCTGACGCCGTGTGTCATGCACCGCGGGACCTACGAGGCCCAAATTCAGCTCACGCAACTGAGCACCCAACCGCTGCGGGGCGACGTCATTGTCGTCCGTTACGGCGTGAAGAACTGCGGCTACACTGCCTTCATCGCTCGCACCCTCATTGTGGAGGCCAATGCGCCGCCCAATGCGAAGGACGCGTATCAGTTTCTCTACTCCGTCAGCGAAAAGGTGATGGAGCTGCTGCGGGTGGGCACCACACTAAGCGAGGTGTACAGAGAAGCCATAAGCTACGCCAGGGCCACCAACGAAGCCCTGGCCAAGCACTTACCAGCCTCCCTGGGCTTTTCCACGGGACTTATGGTGCTTGAGGCTCGAGGTACCATCTCCGAAAAAGGCACCGCGACTGTGGCCGACGGCATGACATTTGTCGTTCGTGTGACGCTTGAGGGGGTGCCGGATGGCGGCGGGGAGAGTTTTGATATGGAGTTGGCCGACACCGCCACCGTCAAGGGCGGTGCGGCGCAGCTCAACACAAAGACCTCCCGCAAACTTGAGGAAATCCTCTACGATGCGGACGCGCAGGAGGAGGCTTTTAATGCCACTACACGTGAGTTGAACAAGATTACCCGTCAGGGGCAGAGCAGCGTCCCTCTCATGTCAAGGGAAGCGGCTCGCGATGAGAGACTCAAGTCGCTTTTGAGAGAATTACACGCCGAGCTGATAGCCGCCGGAGGAAAGAAGGCGACAGCGGCTGCAACGGAGGAGCTGCGCGTGTACGAGATGGGCCGTCTTGCCTACGGGGATATTGCTCCGTATTCAAAGGATGGCTCCCTCCCGCCGCAGGCGCGGCACGGCATCTATGTGCATGTGGAGAAGGAGGTTGTTTTCCTTCCTGTGTGCGGGGAGGTTGCGGCATTCCACGCCTCCACCATCAACAAAGTGGACGTGAAACCGGAGGGCGAATACGTGACCTGCACCGTCACTTTTCACTCCCTGCAGGAGGCAAATATTGCGTATCGGATTCACCGAACAAAAATTTTTCTAAAGGAGCTGAGCTATCGCGCTCCGCAGGACGTCTTCTCGGAGTTGAAGATCGCCATCCAGGGGATTCACCAGCGAATCAAAAACCGAGACACGGAGCGACGGAGGATATCCACAACCGCGGGAGGCGCCAAACTAAACGTCACCCCCAACTCACTGCGACTGCCGCAGGTCAAAATAAGACCGACAGCCACAACCGGCCGCCAAAACAAGGACTGTATTGGTAATCTTGAGCTGCACCAGAACGGACTTCGTTTCTCGTTCATTGGTGGGGCACCAATTGATATGTTGTTTGAGAACATTAAACACGTCATCTTCCAGCCGGCCGTCAACTCCATCCGCGTTATTTATCATGTCACTTTAAAGAAAGGCGTCGAGATCGCACGCAAGAGCGTGGATGAGGTGCAGTTTGTGGCCGACGTCATGGAAAGCAGTGAGGCTGTCACGGGTGCCAGAAAGTCGTACGATGAGGAAATTGCGGCGGAAGAGCGTGAGCAAATGCGCATCAGTGAGACCAATAAGCAATTTATGCGGTTTGCGCAGGCGGTGGAGAAGATGAGTAACATAAAAACACAAATTCCCGTGAGTAACTTTTCCTTTGAGGGTGTGCATGCCAAGGGGTTGACCACCTTCAAGGCCAACAGGGAGGTGCTCTGGGCGATCTCCGACAGGCCGCCGTTCACGCAGCGGGTGGCGGATATTGAGGTGGTGTCGCTGGAGCGTGTGATACCGGGCGGGTCGACGTTTGACATGTCGCTTATTTTTAAAGACTACAACAAGCCGGCGGTGACGATCACGACCATCCCGAGAAGCAGCTTGGAGGTGATTAAGGACTGGTGCCTCGCATCGCGGCTGTACTACATGGAGACCTCTGTCAATCCCAACTGGAAGGCTGTGCTCAAGACAATCCTCGACGACGCGGAGTGGGATCCGTGGCGGCCTGGCGCAGGGTGGGCGGTGCTCAACAACGACTTTGACGGCGACGAGGAGGACGAGGAGGATTCCTACTCGGAGTCGGACGACTCAACGTACAACGAGGAGGATGATGAGGAGTCGGACGAGACAGGCAGCTCCTTCCTTGAGGACGAGGAGAGTGAGCCCGATAGCAGCGACGACGATGATGAAGAAAGCGCGGTGAGCTGGGACGAGATGGAGCGCCGCGCGGAGGCTCAGGACCGTAAACGCGGGTACACATCAGACGACGATAACGACAGGCCGCACAAGAGAGCTCGCGTGGGAAACGCATCGAGGGCTGCGCCGCTTCCGACGAGGGGGAAGGCACCTCGCACACCAAACCCGGGTAGCGCAGTTCCACCTCCACGCAGATTTTAACTGAGCATACAT